GTAGTCTAAGTGAGGAAGGGTCCGGTCTGCCAGGGGGCTCTGGAGAGAGCAGAGGGGGCTCAGGAGGTAGCATTGGAGGTAACGTCTCTGGTTCTGGGAGCATGGGGGGTGGAGGGGCGCTTGGAAACGGCAACGGTTGTGGGAACGGAGGTGGAGGCCAAGGTGCGGGCATGGCAGATGGTGTCTGTAGGGACTTCATACGCAACGTCTGCAAGAGGGGTAAACGCTGCCGCTTCAAACACCCAGACTTCAATGAGGTTCCAGACCTGGGAGTTCAGAAGAATGAGTTCATCTTCTGTCATGACCACCAGAATAAGGAGTGTATGCGCGCCAACTGCCGCTTTGTCCATGGATCTAAAGAGGATGAGGACTATTACAAAAAAACAGGAGAGTTGCCTCTCAGGCTAAGAGGGAAAGTTGCAGCACGACTGGGTCTGTCCCCCATGGATCTCCCCCATAGTCGTGGGGAGGTCCCTATCTGCAGAGACTTCCTGACTGGAGAGTGCCAAAGGGGCAACAAATGTAAATTTCGCCATGTCAAAAAAGACTATGAATATGACACTTCCAGGGTTGGAGTGGGTGGTGTTATGGGGCCAGGTGCCAGTGGAATGGTGGCTGCAGGGGGAGGGATAGGTGTTGGAGGAGGAGGTAACTGCGGAGGAATGCAAGGTCTTGTGGGAGGCGGCGGTGTAAATAATATGATGGGGATGGGATGTCCCAGCTTGGGGGGTTGCAGAGACCCAGGTATCTCAGGAGTTGGGGGAGTAGGTGTAGGTGGCATGAGTGGTTGTCTGTCGATAAGTTCCACAGGACAGCGTCGGTATGACCGGAGCTCATGCTCGTTGTATGATCCTCTGCTTGAGAATGGGCTGTTTGATGCTGGCTCCCTGGAGGCTTCAATGGACCACACTGCTCTTCAGCTAAAGAGGCGGCGGTTGGAGGGGCTCCGTCTGGCAGACGGGAGCATAGGTGGACACTATGAGCTGGGGATCCAAGCCACCTTGCCGCCACGTCCTCTTGAGTACAGGTTCCTGGAGGAAGAAAACTCCTTGCTGAGGAAGAGAGTGGAAGAGTTAAAGAAGCAGGTTAGAATGACAGATGAATAAACCAGCATTATTAAGATTTCGGACAAAATGACATTTTAGCTCTCTTATACAGCCTTTCCCACTGAAATATTTGTCAAATATAACAGTCAAATGTTTGTATTTACCAAAATACTTTTGGACTCCAGTATTTTCTAGTAGGATTTCTCTTTTTAACAACTAATACAGGAGTGTGCTAAATAATAGGCTTATTTAACTGTATGATGCAGTGCAATACAATGTGTTACCAAAGTTGTTACACATAACTGAATTTTTATCAGCTGGTAGCTTTTGAATCAGATCATATGTTAACTGTTACTTTGAACACCTTATGTTGTTAATTTATTTAGTCCATTCAACATTAGTTTGTGACCTAATAATAATAATAATACATTAAAATGTATGTTTTTCTTGAATATTACAAATATAAACAAACATATTTTGATGACATAAGAAAACACTGATTGCTGAAATAGAGCAGCGTCAGTCACAATAACAAAATGTAAGAATGTAAACAAACTGCTTTTGACTGGAATACATTTTTTTGACAGACAAAACAAAATTTAACGTAGTGGTTGGAGAGTTGATGTTTAGAGACGACAGCTGAAAGATCATTGTTGTAATGAATGTATTTAATATATTCAAACTTAACAGAGGCAATGTTGAGTTTGGATGATGTTTGCCTACTGATGTTTGAGTTTGTGACTGGAAAATGAACAACTACGTATTAATCAGATATAAGCATCACCTAAATTTAAAGAGACACTTTTTCCCTTCTGATGGATCTATTTTGGAGTAGTAATTTGATATTTAATAGTTAAAAGTAAATTTAATAGTAAATTCAAGAAACAGCTAAGTTGCAGAGGTGAATATATTTCCACACTTTTTCACAAAAGGAATAACAGACTGTTGGAAACTGGAGGGGGAATAAACTAAGCAAAACAAAGTTGTATGGCGGTGGACTTTCAATTCTTAAAAAAGGTTTTGAAATGATGAAAAAATATATCTCTGCTAATCCATCTCTCTTGTGTTTCTCAGGTTTCAAATCTCATCGCCACAAATGAGGTTCTTCTGGAGCAGAACGCCCAGTTCCGGAGCCAGGCCAAGGTGATGGCGCTCTCCTCCACTCCTGCACCCACTGAGCAGTCTTTGGTTCCCCCTGTGGGTGCAGTGAGCTCCTACAATCACAGCATTGCTCAGACTCACACCACCCTGAGCAGTGCTGGACTGCAACCTCGGCCTGTCATACAGCAGGACCTGGTGGCATCCTCCGGTGCCCCTACAGTGCCCCCAAGCAATGCAGCCCCACCTACAGCTCCTCCACCCCATCTCAACCCCGACATCACCCCCCTCTCAGCTGCACTTGCACAGACCATTGCCCAAGGAATGGCACCGCCTGTTTCCATGGCTCCCGTGGCTGTATCTGTGGCACCAGTGGCAGTCTCTATGTCTATGACGCAGCCTCTGCCTGGCATTACCATGAGTCATGCCACCAGCCCAATGGTGTCGTATCCCATCGCAAGTCAAAGCATGAGGATCACCACACTCCCTCACTAACTGATTTATGGACTACAGTACACACAAGTCAGACTGTAGCATGAGGATTTTTATCACAGAAGTTCAACTCGACTGATGACAGAACTGTGAAAAGATTAGTTTCTGCTTCTCTCCACCAGAGGGCAGGATAAAGACTTCTCTGTTCAGCCTCCCTCACTCTTTATCCTATGGCATTGCAGGGACATGTTTTATAAAGACTGACTGACCTGTGAACTCTGGCGTGAGTCTGTGTAAAGGAATTATTTTCAAACATAGGCACCAAAAATGACAACACTCAACATGTGAGGCTATCCATAGTGTTCGAACCATTTCTGCAAGACTGCTGTGCTATCATTGGAGACTTTCCAATTAGTTTGTGTTTATATTTTTGTGATTTGCTCTTGTACGAATTAAGTTTGGTACTTTGCAAATTAAAAAAAAGAAAAAAAATGAATTTTGAGTTCTCTCTCCCTTTTTTACAGCTGATTTGTTCTGCTCACAGTGAGATAGACACGAACAAGTGAAGTCATGCTAAGACAGATTTGTAGTGATAAATGCTCATGTGAGCATCTCATTGCTTGAGTTGTTTGGGTGGGGTCACATTGTGTAAACTTGAATATAATCGCCTGTCTCTACAGAAGCTTCACATCCGTGTGACTCTTTAAACAAGTGGAGCATTTGGTGTTTGTCTGCCACAAGCACTGGGAATCATTTCAGCCTGCAGGGGCCTGGGCGCTCACACTGGATTAAGGGACTGAGGAAATGCACAGTCGGCTGTTCTAGTCAACTGAGGCAGCAGAAAAATACTGCCCAAGCAGTAGCTATATGGCTATATCACAGTATTTTCTCCTCCAAATAAAGCTGTTCTGCACACCACCAGACAGGTAAATGCACTTTTTGATAGACAATTACATCCACATTTGAAGTAGAAAGTTACTTAAATTGCAGTGTGAAGGCTGTAGTGCTTCGTTGAATCATGTTGAAAATGCATGAAAGCTTTGCTTGAGACAGCTGAACATGAATGAACTTGCATCCAAAAAGAAAATATGGTTGCTTGCTTGCTGCAAGAAGCACATGGTGTGAAAGAGCACAGCTTATTAAAAAGTATCCACAAATTGTGTGTGTGAAGTGAAAGATGTGGGAGAGAAAAGAGAAGAACAAATGTTTGTTGAAAAGCAGAGCAGATGATTTCTTATAAAAACAGAAAAAATGAATAAGAAATGGAATTACACTAAATTAAACTTAAACTGCAATTATTTCAAATACATTTCAAGATATCAAAAACGTTGGAAAATATTTTAGGGGTTTTGGGCCTGTTTGTGGTTTCTACCACAAAGTATGAAGGAGGATACATTTAAAGGTCCAGTGTGTAAGATTTAGTTGAAAGGGAACTATTGGCAGACATTTAATGTAGAATAATCCTCATGATGTTTTCAATAGTTTGTTTCATCTTAATTGTACAAATTGTAGTTTTTGTTACCCTAGAAAAGGCCATTTATATTTAAATACTTTATATTTACATGGAGGGGACCCTCTCTACGGAGACTGCCATGTTTTTTACATTAGTCCAGACTGGACAAACTAAACACCTTTTGAGTTTTTATGACAACTGAAGCTACCACAGGTTCTTTTTCATGTTTGGAAGGAGAGGGTGAGGTGAGGGGTGTTCAGCTGCAACATGCAACTTCAACACTCAATATCTCTAAATTCTACACACTGTAACTTTAAAGGACAGTATAATATCTTTTCATCATATTTTGTTATAAAAGATGGGAAATGCTAGTTTACCACTGTGGGAAGTGTCGGTCAACCTGCCATCGCTACCTAAAGGGAAAGTTTGCAGCCCTCTCCATGTTTTTGTTTCTTTTTATGTCTGCAGGGTCATGCAAAAACTGCAAAAAGAACTCCCACGAAACTTGGTGGAAGGACGTGACAAGCATCAAGAAAGAACCCATTCAAGTATGATAAGGATGCAAGAATTTTTTGTATCACTTTCAAAACACTGAAAGATAAGATTTTTTAATACCATTTTTTTTTTACTTATTATGGGATTTATCTCACTCTAGCAGCCCCAAATACACACCCACTATAACGTTTAGAAATCTTACAGAACCCCCCCACAAAACCTAAAATGTGAAAACTGCAAGATAATTTTGAAGATGTTGAAAAATGAATGGAAGTTTAAAGGCTGAGAGTCTTGGGTTCTTTTTCATGTTTGGAAGGAGAGGGTGAGGTGAGGGGTGTTCAGCTGCAACATGCAACTTCAACACTAGATATCACAAAGTTCTACACACTCTACCTTTAAGGGTTTTTGAAGAGCTGAACACCACAGTCATTTTGAACGAGGGAAGGATCAAAGAAGAATCTGCTCTGAACAACACGTCGATATTGGAATGGAAGAAGTATTTGTACAGGGGAGTTTGCAGAGCACATGGTTAGATATGTTCAGGAGCACGTGTGTTTCCTGCAGGAAACCCACACGATGAATGCTGAGTTGAACAACATCCATCCTGAGAGAAGCAGCAGAGCGCAGTCACGCTGCAGTCACGGTCTCAGGTTATCGGATGAGTCGTCTCAGCAGTGAAAGAGTCAAGGATGCAGTTATTTTAGTGGCCGTGGGCGTGTCCTGTTCAGATAACGGGACAGGCTGAGGAGATCTGGGATCAGTCTGTGAAAACTACCGCAACTCACAACAACAATAAAACCAGGTTTAAACCCCGTTAGAAGAACATGCGACCGGGAGGGACGGTGATCTGAGCTACGGTGGGTAGACGACGTTAGAGATGTGACGGTTGAGTGAGAGAAAAGTCCGTTTAACACGCTTTCAAAAGTCGGTCCTCACATTAAAAACAGAACTGGTTTCGTTAGGCTTCGTTTAAAAAAAAAATCCATAATGCAAAGCGACAAACCAGAGTCGAGCGAACCGAAGGGAGCCGAAGGTCCAAGCGACACCGAGGAGAAAGCACCGACCGCGGTCGCCACGCTCGACGCTCCGGCTCCGAAGGGGATCAGCGCCGTTGCGGTTCTCTGGACCTTCGGGAAATGTCTCGGGGCCCTGCTGCCCGTCTACCTGGCCGGGTACTACCGGGTCAGCACCAGCCTGCTGGTGTTCGGCATGATGGTCTACACCGGGTGGAAGCACGCCCGAGAGGCCAAGGAGTCGCGCCTGAAGTCGGCCATCCAGCTGCTGGACAACGAGCAGGAGTACACGTCCATGAAAGTGTCCAGGATCAAGAGAGACCTCCCTGCATGGGTGAGACACGAGCACACAAGAGAGTGTTTATACAGCACGACCAGCACCCTCAGCCCACCGTGACATACAGTTACCCCACATTACATAAACACCCTGAAACTATAACATCACAGAGGCATGTGCAGGGTCTGATCAACCATAGATTCACATGGATTCTCAGCCAAGGGCCCCCAGGAGGTAGAAAACATTCCAGGGACCCTCTTAATGTATGTCCCTTGGAATAATTAGACATAACTTGTTATTCTTACACTTCTACTTAGTTATGTGTAAGAACAACATAATAGAAATGTCTTAACATGCATCTAAAATATTTTCACCCTCTCCACACAGAAGTGGAAATCACCGGGTAACTCATGGTGTGATACAATCTGTGAGTGATACATGAACCGCGATCATGATATTATTACGATACAGCTATTCTGCAATGATCATTATATAGACAATTATATAACAATACATCTTGATATCTATCTAACTGAATAAGATTACAAAATGCCCCTTCAGAGGTAAAATGCATTAGAAGATGATATATTGCCATGTTTTTATTTTGTCCCACTCCTATTCTTGATCATTTCAATAGAAGAATCTGGAAACTTTCCATAGACCCCCTCGCAAAGGGCCATGAACCCCCGGAGAACCAAGGGCCTCTAATTGAGAACCATTATGATAAAGAATGGTTTCCAGTAACTTTGCTATTTTTAGCTGCTATGGATTTATATAATTGTGCAGGGTCTCCAGAGATAACATGCCTGCACAGTGAGATTCAGACTCTGCTCTTCAGGTCTTTTAAAAATGCTCTTTCTTTTCCTGCTGGAGTTTAGGTCCTCATTCAAACATGCACACATGCAGTAGTTCCTTTTTGTCACATAGTACTTTGTTCTCCCATGATTTCCTCTAATGAGTGTGTATTTTGTGACTTAAGTTCTCTAAAAGATAATCGGAGCAATTCAGGGACACTTCAACCATCAAATTTTCTGTGTAGTTTTAATTAAAGGTGGCTGTAAAATGAGTAAGACATGCATCAATCATGGAAATGCTGCAACCCTTATGGGTCTGTGTTGACCCAGTGTATCTGGCCACACCCAAACAAGGTTCCTGTGTTGTTTCAGTAATTGCTTACATAACCAGACAGCATGCACACTCATTCAATTATTAAACATCTGTTGTTGTCCAGTACTGCACAACAAATGGCCTGTGTTAGGATTATGAATAAAATATTTAAAAAACTTTAACTGGAGACGTGACTTGCAAAGATAAACAATGTAATAGCATGATACTAGCAGGGCTTTTGATAACCTTTCCAGATGTGCATCAGCCATGGCTGAATCATTTCCTTAAGGTGGTGTGATCATCACGATCAACATGCTCTATTCTTAATTATGTATCATCTTATGTATTTCTCCCTGTTACTGTAGGTCAACTTTCCAGACGTTGAGAAGGTTGAGTGGCTGAATAAGGTAAAATATCATTGGTTTCCTATTTCACTTCCTTTCAGCAAATGACGTTGCACAGAGATGCTGTTTACTCCTCCTTTGTTAAGCCTATAGCACAGACACACGTCTGTTCATTCAGTAGTTCAGCTGTGGTGCTGAATGACACAAGACGGCGTGTGTTTGGTTGATAGCTGATGCTAGCTAAGGGTAGCACTGCCTCGGTTGCTTCCACATTCCCAGAAAAAAGCCCCCCCCCCCATTAGTGTTGCCATTCTGTCTGTGCTGCAGAGAGAAGGCCCAGTGCCAGTGCGCCCTCTCAACATTTCCATTTCATTACAGGCTAGCTCACAGGAAGAGGGAGGAGCTGCCCAGTCCACATAAAACTAAATAAAAACTACAGCTATTGTTCCTGCCTCCAACTTTCTCTCTCTCAGACAGACAAGGATCATAGAGATTCAGAAATATACGTTTTCATGGTGACAGGACCACGAGATCTGAGCAGACAAAGCAGAGGTTTGAGACTTTGCACTGGAGGAGAAGGTCAGCAGATTCCACTGTTGCTCAGGCTTCGTCCTCTACAGGAGCAGGCGGCTGATGACTCACTCTCTGCTTATGCCAGACTGAAATCAACTCTGCTTTTTTATTTTTTCCACAGTCACACAAGCTCCCAACTAAACACTGCCCCTGCTTTGTTCTTTCCCCTGTAGAAATGGATACATGGTAGCATTCATATAGTAGCAATAATATTTTGCACACACATTTATTTGCACTTAAGAATACAAACAGTTGAGGAAGCTCAACTGGCCACAGCTGTCTGTCATTCCTCTGTTGTTGCCTGTGGAAGCCAAAGCACCTGACAGATAGTTTTGTTGTGATGTACATGGCTAAAATTACTAGTTGACTTTGTGGTTGAAAACGTCAGGGATGTATATTATATATTTTCTCTCTTACAACCTTGTGCTTGGCGACCTGACCAGGTGCTGCAGCAGGTGTGGCCCTTCGTCGGCCAGTACCTGGAGAAGCTGCTTGTGGAGACCATCGCTCCATCCATCCGAAACTCAAGCTCCCACCTCCAGACCCTCAGCTTCACAAAAGTGGACATGGGAGACAAGGTGACAGCTTTACTATAATGTGAAGCAGCTTTAAAAGATTCACACAAACGCTGCATGTTCTTTACAGCACAAATGTTCTCTCTGTTTTCTGTAGGCCATGAAGGTTGTAGGGATCAAGGCACACACAGAGAATGACAAGGGACAAGTCCTGCTGGATCTGTATATCAGGTAAAGGCTTATCCATTGCTCTTTGTGTTTGTTAGACCCCATTCAGAACTGAAATTTACATCCATCTCTACCACTCTCTCTCTCACTTGTTTGCTTGAACACACACAGACACACACAAACAAATACGCATGGACAATGGACACATCTGTAAACTCAAACGGTGTATTACAACTCCCAGGACGTTTTACCATACATGACACTTTGCTTCTTTTATCTTCAGCTATGTTGGTAACGTGGAGATCAATGTGGAGGTGAAAAGATACTTCTGCAAAGCTGGAGTCAAAGGAATACAGGTCTGTCTTATCAGGTTTTAAATATGTTTTTATTATTGAAGAAGATGTCTACATAAAGCTTATTGGTTTACTGTAATGCATTCATTAATATTTATCAGGAGTTTCACAAGCATCTTCTCTGTCTCTAGCTACATGGGATGATGAGGGTGATTCTGGAGCCTTTGATTGGAGATGTGCCCATAGTGGGCGCTGTCACCATGTTTTTCATCCGCAGGCCCGTAAGTCCATTTTATAATCACCTCTTTATGTACTTTTCTTGTTGTGGCCTTAAACCCAGATTCCTGTCACTCTCACATATCTCAGTTTAGTCTCATAGACATTTCCTACTATTGATTTCTCATCAGTCCTGAATGGTTTGCTGCACACAGTCAATTCTTCTGTCCAAATCTCTTTGCAGAAACTGGACATTAATTGGACGGGATTGACTAATTTGTTGGACGTCCCTGGACTGAAGTGAGTCATACTGAAATAACTTAATACTTAATATAATATAAAACATTATAAAGAGGATAACCCTGTGGATGTTATTATACAGGGATGAATGAATTATGCAGGCAGGGCAGCAGTATGTTTTCATTGACATTACCTCCTCCTT